TTGCAGAACGTTCTGAATCATTCTCCGTCCCTATCGATACTTTGACTTTTGATTTTGAAACTTGCGTTTCTCCAAACTCAGCCAAAGTGGGGGTTTTTGTAGACAACCATTTGTGTCCCCCTAAAACCAAACCCAGTGATGAGTACCTTTCACGTCGAATTGTAATCGAATGAAGTGAAAGTGTGGAAGGTCTAGTGTTGCAGATGGTTTTTTATTTCTTTTCTTTCTCCCTGTTTTTGAAAACCTATTTTTAGAAAACATCCAATCCAGTTTGATTTTGTCCATGGCAAGGGTCCAATAATAGTGTAGTTGGGTCGGGTTCGAGAAGAGCTTTCCAACGATATATTATAAGCCCAATTCCGATGAATAATGAAGAAGTTATGGCCAAATTACTAAACTAGGCCTGGTTTGATATTTATATGCGGTCCAATGATCTAGAGGAGGGCCTAATATTGATTTATCATTCCTAACGCAATTAGAATTGATTATAATCTTCTAGATTCTTCTAGAAGGTTCTTTTCATTCCTAATTTAATTAGCATTGATAAATTGGCTTTAGTTGACTTTTTAGAGTTTTAATCAGAATAAAAGAAGTGTTTTTAAGGAAAATACGATTTTGCCCTCCTGTATGCCTAAATTTTATCAAAATTAAGAAAACGCATGGAAACTGTTTTCTAGCGCCTGACAACAGGATTAGCGCCTGGCGCTAACCTTGGCGTCTGACACTAGCCTTAGCGTCTAGCGCTAATGTCTGGCATTTGGCGCTAATTCGTTTTATTCTCTTCGAAACTTTGATTTGTTTTTCTATCCATCCGGCTGATTTTCTCTATAAATGGCCTCCTAAATCTCTGTTTTCAATCATCAACAATTCTTCTCATGAAGAATTGTCAATAACAATTAATTCTCTCTAATTCTCTTGATTACTCTCTCTTTCTCTTTTCTAAAATAGCTTTTCTCATACAAAATTCCGCATTCACAAATTCTAGAAACACCTAGCCAAGTTCGAAGCTGCCTTCGCCCTAGATGTGAAAGGTTTTAATTTCTGAGTGTTTGGTCCCTAATCCTTCTTTCAATTATTTGATTTAATTTGTTTATTTTATTATTTTCCTTGAAATTACTAATATGTGTAATTTGTTATTAGAAAGAGATACGAGGCATCCAAGTAAGTGCTTTAATGATTTTATTGATATTATGATGTAGAAATTATGTCTAGATTGTTATTATGATTCCTAGTGTCATGTCAGGGTGTTTTGATCTTCCTAGTATCATGTTTAGGGTAACAACTATGATTTCTAATATCAAATATGCTTATTATGATTCCTGCAATGCTTCCCTTTCTCTTCCTAATATTTATGATTGATAGTGTCATGTTAAGGTTAAATCTTTGATCTTTATTGTTTAGTGACATGCTAGGGTTTGTTATTAATCTTGTTAGTATCATGCCTAGGATCTTTCTATTATTATGCTTTAACATGATTATTTTATTATGATTATTGTTATGTTGCTTGATTATTTGTATTGTTATTGCTTGATCACACCTTTATGCATGTTTAAAGGGAATTTGTACTTGTAATCACACTTAATAAGATAATTGATAATCTTGTTTAGGGTTAATATGATTATAATTAAAGTGATCGTCAATAATAGTTTTATTTGTGCATTAATATTCAACCAACATAGATTAAACAGGTTTAGGGTAAACCTATTGATTGCATGTTAGTTAGAAAACGCACATGAATATGATCAGAATAAAGTAGAGGCCTATTATTATGGCAGGTTCAATCTCTTTTAGGTTGGATTTGTACCTTCATCCCCGAACTACCAATCATGGTTCTAGACCTATTGGAGTCGACGATCTCCTGGATCGTTAAGGGGTGTAACCTTCACCTCGTGAACGGTTTACAAGTTCTTAAAACTTATTGGCGACTCTTTTGCTCTATCTTCTTTCCCTTTGGACGCCACCGTACTTTAGTGTATGATCACAGTGGGGTTCAAGTTTGGGGTAATGCTTGAAATATTCCCTACACGTATCATGTTTGAATGCTTTGAATTATTTATCATCTTTAAAAGGGTTTGATATGGAAAGCATATTGAATTAAATAAAAAGGAGTTTTGAATTAATAAAGGTTGATTTATTGATTTGACTAAAGAATGAGTTTATGAGGAGTTATTGAATTATTATTAGGAAATTTTGCAAAAAAAAAAATCACCTTTTATATGAAACTATATTAATCCCATGCGTTGCACGGTTTAAATATATTTTATTTGTATAAAATAGTTGTCAATATATATCTATACTAATCTATACTAATATATTAAAAGACATTATTAAGAACGTCTCTGTGCCACGTAGACCATGCCACGTCACTTACTCCATTTCTCATTATGCCACATAATCACTACTCAATCAACTAGAATATTGCTTCATTTAAAAAAAATGATGATAAGGGGATTTGAACACCCAACCTTTTATAAGAAAGATAGTTACTTAACCATCTAAGTCAATCATAAGCTATTTTATGAACATGAAAATAAATGTATATAATTGATAATCACAAGGTCTAAATAAAGTAGCAACCGGTGCAACGCCCGGGCTACACACTAGTTCTTTATTAAAAAAGTGTACTCCAATTTTTTTTTGGTGAAGGATTCAAAAAAGTATAATCATAATCTTATTTATTAATTTTGAAAGAAATATTGTAATTGTTTAGTTTTAGAACTTAGGAGAAAAAAAATGATGATGTCAAAAATACTTTTGGCGGGAAAAAATTTCATAAGAAATTGACAAGTGTCCTTTAATGATGTTAACATGTTTTGTTTTAGTAATAGTTAATAGATTTTTTTGCAAGAAACCACCTTATATATAATTTTTTTTTTTTTGCAATGACATACCTTAATCAAATTTTTTTGCATTGCCACACCTTAATCAATTTTTTTTTTTTTTGCAATGGCACATCTTTGGCCGGAAAAGAGGGTTTGACCCTGTTTTCCAGCATTGACATGACCACGTGCGAGGCACATAACCTCTTAAATCCACTTTCCAACTACGCCAACCACTAGAACGCCACTGAAATCGCCTTACCACCCCACCGAAACCGTCTTACCCTCCCCACCACCACTGAAATCACTCTCTTTGTTAGCGTTCTGGTGGGTGGCATAATTGGAAAGTGGTTTTAAGAGGTCACATGCCTCGCATGCGGTCAGGTCAAAGTTGGGAAAAAAGGTTAAACCCTCTTTTTTGGCCAAAGGTGTGGCATTGCAAAAAGATTTATGATTAAGGTGTGTTATTGCAAAATAAAAATTTGTAAGATGCTTTCTTGCAAAAAAAGCACTTATTTATTTTTTATTTTTCGCAAAATTTTCTAGTTTTAAAGCTTTACAAGCATGATTAAGTTAATCCCATTATGCGGATTTGTTTGATAAGAATTTGGTCTCTGTATGACTGAGTCTTTCCTCAAGGAGTCTTTCTACATAAAGATACTAACTTGGGGGGAGGGGGTATGCACACTTGGGTGAAATTTATTTATCACTTGAATTATTATTCAAATTATTATTAAGTTATTGGAATTATTTTGAGAATCTTGAGATTTGGTTTGAAATTCTGAGTATTGAAACGGATATTGGAATTTCCAAGATTGGTTTTAAAAGCATTTTAGCTAATCAATTGAGTTTACTTATCTTGCACTTTAATGTACTTGGCATATTTTGCTAATTCGTATTTCCTATTTGTTTTGGTTCGCCATGTTTACCTTAACGACAAGTAGTGTTGACTATTTTAGGTGGAGTCATGATTTGAGCATATGGGAGTCTTGGGATTCACTTTACCTAGTTTAGGGATGTTGGTTGTTTTTGTATTTATTTTTGGGTACTCTTAACATTGGTTCTTTCTATTTATAATTATTAATAAAAGAAGAGTTGAGTTTCTAATGCAAGTTTTTCTATTGACTTAAGTAATTTGAATAGCCTTGCGTAATCACATGGTGGTAATACACATAAGTATATCTCTACGATATAATTATACGTATTATATTAAGATTTTCGTAGAGGGAGATTTAGGGGTTATTACAAATGGTATCAATTTTTCAAGTCTTAAAAAGATTAAAATTTTTAAATAAAATTGAGTGGTAGACTTATGAGGGCATATTATATGATAAGATGATTGAGAAAAGGATTCACGTGTATGACTCTCGTTCTAGGTAAGCTCGCCTCGACGCTATAGGTAACTTACTTGGATACCCATGCTCAACCGTCTAATATCATGATACAAGTATATTAATATTTTTATTTTCGGAAACAAAAGAATTGGATTTTTTTAATTTTTTTAAATAAAGAAATTGAAATTATTTAAAAGCTCTTGTGTATGTGATTGGATGTACATTAGGGACTTCTTCTCTTCACCTGAAATTAGTAGATATGGTCTGAATTATTTAAGGTGTGATCTGGTCTTATCTGAATTTTTTTATTCTGTGGTCTAGTCTAATATGATTTAACAATTTGACTGAACTTTGACTGCATTTTAATACTAATCTATAATGAAAAACATTATCAAAGTGGATCTTGTTAGATTCGTCTCATTATGAATTTTTTAAATATGTAAATTTATAATTTTTTTTAATACGCAACCAACCATATTTAACGATAAGTAAATGATAATCAAAAGTTCTGATGTGGTCGTATCTGAATCAATCTGATCATATATAAATTTATTAAGGAATTAGTAATAAGTATTTGAAATAAGTTGAAAAGAACAAGTGCTTAGTCGGTGTTAAGTCGTTGACTTTTATTGACCGATCATGCCTAAGAGAAGAAATCGCCCCACAAAGCTCTACAAAGTTGTGATTGGTAAAAGTAAATTGATCAAAATTAGAATTAATATCACCAATTCCTCTTAAATTACGAAAAAAAAACCCTTGAACTTTCAATTGAGCATTTGAGCCATCATTCCAGACCATCCGTCCATCCCTATAGAATGTAGATAGGGGTTGTCCACATCCAGTAACGCCAAACCTCCCCTCCAAATTGCCAGATATGAACAACACCAAACAGCGTAATTCCCACTCGAAACAAACACGACCCTAACCGCAATTAAAATTAATCAGAACTCACAATTCTCATCACCCCCTTTCTCTTTCTCTTTCTCTCTCCTCCGTTTCGATCGACGGTGTCGGTGATCTCCCAATCTCTCTCCTCTTCTTTGTTTCACCCAATTTCCCAAATCTCTCTCCCTTCTTCTTCCTCCTCCTCCCCCCATTACTCCACAACCCCAAGAAGGAGGAGGAAGATCATCATCATCAATGGCGGGTGCTTCTAGAAGATTAAGAGACCTTCAATCACAAACAGGCAACAAAACTTGTGTTGATTGTTCCCAGAAAAATCCACAATGGGCATCTGTTTCTTACGGGATTTTCATGTGTTTGGAGTGTTCAGGGAAGCATCGAGGTCTCGGTGTTCATATCAGTTTTGTCAGATCTGTCACCATGGATTCATGGTCTGAGATCCAGCTTAAGAAGATGGAGGCTGGTGGTAATGATAAGCTTAATTTGTTCTTACAACAGTATAGTATTCCCAAGGAAACTGATATTGTTGCCAAGTACAACTCAAATGCTGCCTCCGTTTACCGGGAGAAGGTCTCGGCTTTGGCCGAGGGGCGATCGTGGCGAGACCCGCCTGTCGTGAAGGAATCCGTTGGCGGTGGTAGTAAGAAACCTCCTTTGGGTGGTGGGAGGAGTAGTGGGAGTGGTAATAATGGTGGGGGTTGGGATAGTTGGGATAATGATGATTCGTTTAGATCGGCGGCGAATGGCGGTGTCGCGAATGATATGAGGAGGAATCAGTCTGCTGGGAATTTCAGGAATACGAATGGAATTGGGAGTGCGAATGGGAATGGTAATCATGCTCCTCATAAGTCAAGATCGTCGTCGGATATATACTCGAGGGCGGAATTGGAGGAGTCTGCAGCTAATAAGGATAGCTTCTTTGCTAGGAAGTTGGCGGAGAACGAGACGAGGCCGGATAATGTCCCTCCTTCTCAGGGAGGGAAGTATGTTGGGTTTGGGTCTAGTCCTAATCCTAACCCTACTTCAATGTCTAGGAATAATAATTCACAGGGTGATGTTTTTTCTGTTGTTTCTCAGGTGTGTGTTTGGTTTTATTGATTGGGGATTATAGTTCATGTTTTGTTGTTTGTTTATTTTAGGATGATTGTTGTTTAGTCCTTTCTTTTTTGATGAATGATTGATCAGGGAATTGGGAAGCTGTCTTTGGTTGCTCAATCAGCTGCTAGTGTTGTTCAAGCAGGCACAAAAGATATCACTTCAAAGGTATATAAAGTTTTCAGTTTCTTTGGTGTTGTTGCTTTGGCCATGCTGTAGTCCCTAGTATATCATGTTAATGGTGTTAATCAGATTATCAATTGATTTGGCGACGATGATGGTGATAAATTATGATTTGATAGTTTGAAGTTATTTTTTTTCGGTGTGGTCATTTTTTTTATGCTAGGTTGAATGGATGAACTGGCATAGAAAAAATGCCTTGAGCTGAGTATTATTTTGCTTATTTATATGGCATTCAAATGTTTCTACATAATAATATCTCTAATTGCTGTTCTGATAGCTTTGATTTCATTTGAGTAACATATACAAGTATTAAGTTATCCATGATTCCATGTCTTTTGCAAGGTTGAAGTTTATTTGGATGTTCATTGTACTATGCTGCATTCTCTCTTTGCTGGAATTTTTTGTTATTGTTGCGTCATGTGGTTTGGTTTTCTCAAATTTTCCCCTTAATGTTTTAGTTGGATGATAGCTTCTTTGTTTGCTTTGTCTCTATTGGTTACGTTTTAGCTTAATTCTGTTCAACTTAATATTCAGGAAAGATGAGCATGGCTACTGTTATAAACCTTACATCTAGTTGCCTTGCGTTTGATGTACTCTGTTTGATCGTACGAAATTTAACATGGAGAGCACAGCCTCCATTTCCCTTCCTACTTTTAAGTTGAGATCCACGGAGGCAACCTTTAGAGAGAATTTTTGATTACATTTATTCTTGCAGTATTTAGTCAAACACGAAGAGAATGAATGGATTCCTCTTGCATTGGAGTTAGAGAGGAGATCTTAGCAAATTAAGCTTTGCTGATGTGTTATAGCATGGTGTTGGACCTTGATGGTTTATAAATTTCCAATAATGTGCTCACACATTCCGTAGAGGTTTCCTCATAGGCTTTTATCTATTCTGTTTCTGTTGAATTGTGGATGTTGACTCTGGTATTAGAAATATATTCTGAGTGTATTGTATTACTAAAGATTAAGTCCTAATATTCTGAGTGTATTCTGAGGACTGGCTTTTATCTAATCAGTACTCAGTTGAATTCTAGCAAATCTATCTTAGTCTAATTAACACGAGTTTTTTTGGGTTTCAGTATCTTTATCACCTTCTAGCTGATCACTGATGCCTTACTGTCAATCATATACAATATTGTATCGTTTGCAAATAATGCACTATGGCATGCCCTCCACATTGTGTTAGCATGTTGCACATGTAACTCGTAGGTTATGCGTAACAGATGGAACTCAAAGCTGATCTTTTGTGTAATATGATATCGTTATTGAAGATTAGCATATTAAAGACTTCCTCTTGCTGACTTGGTCTCTCATGAAGTTAATACTAGAAGGCAATAAGCTCTGTGTGTCAGACTTCTTGATTTTGAAAATTGCTGTTGTCCATTTGGCTTAAAAAAATGCCAATTCTCTTCTTTGTTTTGTTGGATTATTGCGCTTAATATTTTACTGATTGACTATTAAGAGTGCACTGAAATTGATTTACTTCCTTATATTTGTAGCCTGGCCAATTTGTTTTTATTCCATAACAGTTTCTTTTAATCTATGTGGTTAGGGGCATGAGATGAAAATGGGTAACTAGCCATGTCAAAGTACTCAGGATGTAATTTAGTTTGGATTTTTGATATCCAAGGTGCCAAGTCAATGATACTGATCGATATGTACCCAAAATGCCCCATTAGTGTTAACAGATGGATGATGGTGTAGATATTTTTTTTTGGGTTGTGGGAACCTAAAAAGGAACGAGTAATATTGTGTATCTAGGTTGGGTGGTGATGTGGTTGGTGGTGTGTAATATATGATGGGCTGTTTGAGGAAGGGGTTGCTGGAGATTGATGAAGTGGAAGAGGGGGGTAATTAGGTTCGTGTTTGTTCTGGTGGGTATGGTCGTGGTAAAAGTAGTTGGTAATAAGATTGTCGGTAATGGCAGTGAGCTGGTGGAGGTTGCAGTGGGAGGCTATTGGAATTGTATTAGGGTTATGATGTGGTGAAAGATGTTGATGAAAGGGGGCTTGTGAATTTGATGTTTATGATACAGGGGTGAGCAAGTACCCGTTTCAACCTGTTGGGTACCTTGTGAACACTGGTTTCAATATTGGGTACTAAGTCTGGAACCACAAACAGATAAAAGCTCAAGTCATAATTTAATCCAAGCGAATTTTTGAAACCCAGGTTAAATTATAGAACTGTTTAAACCCAAATAATTAATGCATTCTTTTTTTTTACCCTTAAATAATACAGTGCCTGCAAGGTATTCAAATATATATGATGACATGGTACCCTGGTTCTCATTTTAAGTAATGAGATTCTGGTTCCAAAAATTTTAACAGGTACTATGTGTTGCCCACTGTTAATAATATTTTGTATACTAACAATTTTTCAACAGAATAGGCTCATTAATGTCACAATATGTTGATACATGGTAGCACTTTTAATACAGAATTGTTAGGAATTACTCCCTCCATCTTAAATTAGTTTGAACACATCCTATTTGGGAAAGACCCACTATATCTTTATACATCCATTTCTTCACTATAACCAAGTTATGGCCTCACTCTTTTACACATACAATGAAAAGAATCCTAATATCTCCTATCACATATACTTTTCAATTAAAACACCTTACCATTTCGTATCACATCTATTCTATAAGATAATAATCGATAACAGCTCAACAACTTATTATCTAGAATCTATGCCTTGAAAATTGTTTATTTTGTGACTAAAGGAGTTGTTGGTTTCAAAACTGGTAGACTAATTTTCACTGTCAATGTAATCTTCTTTAATCTTTAAGCTCTTCACAAAAATTAAAAGATGTTATGTCAACAAGTTATTTACGATGTATACCCTACAAATCAGTTCTGTTCTTATTCCCGTTTATTTTCAAGCTTGCAACACCTTTTCATGTTTGACTTTTATCTTTAGTAAACTTTTGAAATATACAACAAGATTTATCTATCACCAATTTACATATTATTATTTGTTTATTTTTTTTTTGGTGGAATTATTATTTGTTTATAAATTAGTTAGATCTATGCTCAAAGTTATTGTTTGAATAATGGAAAAGTTAGAGTTTTAGTGACAAAAAATAAAAATAAATGGAGAAAGTATGCCTCAGAAGTAAACTCTTCAAATGTAATCATAGTCAAGATTTGGAAATTGTTTAACTTATGCACACCAAGCACGTTGTATGGCATATGAGTATTGCTTTTTCAGGACAGTGAATGGTACCAAAATTGTGATTTCTAGCATGATTATTGTGAATAATAAAGCATTCCCTCCCCTTTTTCTCACTATCTTTTGAATTATAAGTATAACATATTTCCTATTTCATTTATGTTTGGGACATACAATAAACTGAAATGAAAGAGAAGGGAATTAACAAAAGTACCCTATCTAGCCTTACCCACCTATCCTTCTCTTTGGCAAGTTGATGGAACAACTAGCTACCCTCACCACACACCCACACAATTTTGTAGCTTGGGTACCACCGCCCCCACCTTCCTCACCTCAAGCCTTCACTCCTCTTCCTTTTGAGAGTTACAACCATCCAAGCAATTAAGCAGCCACCTCACAAAGTTAGATATCGATGGTTATCTCACGCTAGACCTGTGACACTAGAGATGACGTTGGTTGTGGACTATCGTTTTCAGATTCCCCTTTCATACAATTTCGAAGGAGCCAAAGGTGAAATTGGAGGAAAATGGTATGGAACTACTTTAGGGTTCAAATATGGTTAGAGGATTAGAGATAGAATTGGAGGATTAGATGAGAAAAAGGGTGGAGTTTGCATCAGAGAGGAATGCTTGGAGAGTACTTTTAAAGTAAAGTTGCTTCTAAGAAGATGAATGTCTAAGGGGACGTTTAATGGTGGAGGTAATGGAGTCATAGGAGAGGAAGGGAGAAAATGGGGTTGTTGGAGAAAGTGGGGGAGAGGGGGGAGGGGGTCATGCCAGTGGTGTAGTTAAAAGAAGATGGGTAGTGGACTGATGGTCTGTCTTTTTTGAGTGGAGAAGATGATGATGGAGTGAGAGAATTCTGTGGTTGGAGCATCATTGGAGCTGGGTATGGTATGGGGAAGGGAGTAGAGAGAACAAGAATAAGAGAAATAGAGGGTATATTAGTATTTTAACACATTAACTCACCTAAAATCGACATCGGCTTAAATGAACTTCCTAAAAAGAAATTCATCTTATCTAATGTTCAAAGGAGTTATTCACACAATTTTCTAGTCCTTAGGTGCCATCATTGAGGAGAAGTGTATTTGTGAATAACATATCTGATGTATAGATTACAAATATTTGTATTGCTTATTGTCTTGTTTTTATTATTTTATGCTCAAGTTCTTTTTAATAACTATATATTTGCATGTCTTTTATTTGTTGTACTATTGATTAGACTTTCATTTCTGGTCAGAGTTTAAGGGTACATTACTAGTCATGGATCCAAACTATCTAGACAGGTTGTATGAGATTTCTGAGATTACAAAATTGGTTAACTATCTGTTCGGTTAAATAGCAAGTTAGATAAGTACACGATCCTTGCTATTTTGAGAGTAGTAGTGTCTTTTTTGTATTTATCTCTCCTGAAAAATTGGTGATTTCATTGAGAATTATTACCTAACTTTGATTCGCTATCTGATGAATATATTATAGATTTCTATGATGGCTTGACCTTAAAGTCATATGTTTTCACAAAGTTGCCTTTTGACGATGATGTGCATGGTTATATTATAGGTGGGAGCGTGGGTTATGGTTTAGATGATGTGCATGGTTTGCCTATAATGAAGCTATGTGATAAAATGGGAAGGGCATAGCATACTAGATTACTAGTGATGAATTGTAGGCTTGTAGCATTGATGTGCTCTAGCTGTCAATGTATCAGCCACCAGATATATTCTTCTAGGCGGAGATTGCCAGCATAGGATACAAATGTGCTGTTTTTTACACAAATTTTGGTGTGGAGCTATGAAAAAGGACATGCTAGTAGTGGGTGTAGGTTAATATGCCTGGGACAATATATACCCCCGTCTTTGATTCATCTTTCACATGTTTATTGGAGTGGAAACTGTATTTTGTAAGATTCTTAAATTTTGATCCATAGTTCTGTGTGGTCAGATGTGCTGCTGCCATGTCTTTTGCTTTGAGAATTCTGAATATGAGAGCTAGCTTTTCCAGGGTTTACTGATTTGTTATTTCTTGTCCTTAGCATCATTGGTGATAATGTAATGTTTTAGATGTTATTTATCTTACTTTATCACAAAATACTTAAGCCTTTTTTTTTCTATGGATGAAATCTTTTCATTTTTTCACTCTTGCTTATGCATATTCTCAACCATTATTATTTTTAATTATCAATAAGAAAATTGTAAAAAATTGATGATTGGTATGTAAAAACCAATCTAAAATGAGCCTACATGACTGTTTTTACTAACAGAACTAGTTTTTGGCCCGGGCGATGCCCCGGGTAATTGTTGTATATAAAATATAATAACAAAATAAAGCAAGTGAAATATAAATTGGTGGCTTTATAAAATAATATCATTTATTAAATATTTTAAATATAATTGAACATCAAAATTCATTATTTAATATGCAGCGACCTAAATGATATATATTGTATAAGTTTGTTTTATTTGTTAAAGGGATTTTTTTTTTTATTATTCAGCTATCATAATAAATTACTTCTAGTGAACATATTTTGTGGTTAAAAAAAAATTTATAAAATTATTTTGCATTTTTGGGTTATATATTTTAATTAACTATAACCTATATGAATTACGGTTGAGTAACAGATCAAAGAAATGAAACTAATTTTTCAATCATATTGTTGTTAAAATATACACATATAAGTCCACAATTAAAATTTTAGAATTTATGAATATGAATAACACTTTTTAATACAATTTTATCATCATAAGATGTCAATGGAGTGGTGGTTAGTTAAAGTTAAATTTTAATGAATAAGAGATTATGGGTTCAAATATTAATGCTATGAAATTATAAATTTTGATGAGAAAACATTAATGTATAATTATTTATTATAGGTGACATGTCAACACGTGGCGAGATTGGCGACACGTGACAAGATTACAATCCTTGTCGGTTGTCATTGAGTTTTAATATATATATTGATATCGTCAAAAAATAGAGAATGTATATTGTGAATAGCGTAAAGTTTCAATCGAAGTGTTTCATATGAAGATAGTGAGGGAATCTTCTATCTACTTAATTATCAGTGTATTCTAGAAAACAGAAATTATTTGGAGTCTTCAGGATGATCATGTTCAAAATTAGTTCATGGCTAAATTAGCTATTCAGCAATAAACTCCTGATTGAGGATATGGTTCCTAATGATGATAAATTCAATTTAGTGACCAGTGGCAAGTTAGGTCAAGTCACTTATACAAGTGTTGGTTATGTGTTCTTCTTTAAGTGTTGGACTCACCAAGGCTCATTTTCTGACACATGGACTGTCCTATAACTCAATAACACTCATGAAACATAAAACCCTAAGATTTAGGGGTTTGACATGTCCTTCATTATGAACTTGGTAGATTGGCATGTCCTTCATTATCTTAAGCCCATCTTTGTATCATAGTATTCCCGTTTTGGATTTCCCTGTATATTTATAGGTTTTCTTATCGAATTTGGATCTAGATAATTGAGTTGAGTAAAAATTAGAGAGCCAGGCAAAGTCTATATATCTTTGTTTGAGTGACGGGTACTTAGAAGAGAAAAAGCTTAGGTTTACATTTGTAATTGAAGTTAAATATTTTGTGTACTTCATCTGGCTCCGGCTCAAGTAAGTGTAGATATACTTAATCCTTGATCTTTGTTGAGTAATTTTGGCATTTCTCTTAAATTGAACAGCCTGGTTTGACACTGTTCGAATCTTTGTTAGAGTAACGGGGTACTTAGAAGAGAAAAAGCTTAGGTTTACATTTGTAATTGAAGTTAAATATTTTGTGTACTACATCTGGCTCAAGTAAGTGTCGATATACTTAATCCTTGATCTTTGTTGAGTAATTTTGGCATTTCTCTTAAATTGAACAGCCTGGTTTGACACTGATCGTTCTAACATCTGTTAGTTAACAGTAATAAAATAGTCTTTCTGAAAAATAGTACTTTATGTTGTTTCTGAATTCATTGAAATTTTATTGCAGGTTCGCGAAGGTAGCTATGATTACAAGGTTAATGAAACTGTTAATGTTGTCACTGCTAAGACTTCTGAGATAGGTCAGAAGACATGGGGCATCATGAGAGGTGTCATGGCAATAGCTTCTCAGAAGGTTGAGGAGATTACACGGGAAAGCGGGGTGAACTGGAAGACTGATAACCCACATCAAACTGAAAACGAAAGGAATGGATATTATCAGGACTTCAGGCAGGAATCCCAGGGATGGAACAGAAGTTCAGCCGGCGGGCAATCCTCGTCTGGCAGACAAAATAATGCAGTCAGCTCAGGATCTTGGGATGATTGGGACCAAAAGGACAACTGGAAGGAAGGTTTTAAAAAGGGGGGATCGTCCCAAAGTCATGATGATTGGGCTGGTTGGGATGACCACAAAGATGATGAGTTTGACGATTTCCACCATAGCTCGACTAATAAAAGTTCTGGCCATATTGGGAAATCAGATGCAAAATGGGGTGAGGGTGGCTTCCTTTGAAGATTTTCGTGTTGAAGCAGTCATTCTTCAAATACAAAGGTGTTTATGTTTGCTTCTAGTCTATATGTGTACAACTGCCCACAAGAGGGATTTTCCCTTAAAAACATTTATTTGTGACCGAGCTGTATCAATTATTGCTATTTTTCAGACTGTTTTCTTCTAGTTACTCTTGTCAACGATATATTTTCTTATTTCTTCTGTTCGATTTGTATTATAGGCCATTCTTGTTTCAAATTTCACTGGAATCAAAATTGACAAGGCTTTTTTCTTCATATTCTTGTTCGTTTATAACTTTATATTCCTCCTTTAGCCATTTTATTTTACAACATTTGTGTACAACGGCTGTACAATGATATTAATGTACGTCAAACAGTTTCAGCATAACTTCAACCTACCTAAGATTAATTCTAATATTTCTAAGCTTGATATGATTGCAGTCACACTATAAAATTTGATTTTTACTCCTTTAAAGATATACATAATAACTTAATCAATAAAAAATGGAAAATTTGTCAGAAACAACCTTTTAAAGTGTCCACTTTATTTAAAACAATCTTTTAATTTTTTTTTTGCAATTTCAGACCACATTATAAATTTTTTTTATCGAAGACAACCAAATGCTACTTTCCGGCGTTTGACTCTATTTGTCCCGATGTTAACCACTAGTGTGCAACGCACATGAACTCGTATATTGCTTAATACACCAATTTTCACTCCAATTCACTCGTACTAAAAGAGGGATGAAAGAGAAGCAGAGGTTTTAATAGGAGTTAATTGGAAAAAAAAGGGGTGTATTAAGCAATGTAGGAGGTCACGTGACTCGCACACTCGTGGTCAACATCGGCAAAAATTGAGTCAACGTCGGAAAGTAACATTTGGTTATCTTTGATAAAAAAAATTTATAATGTGGTCTTAAATTGCAAAAAAAAAATTTAAAAGGTTGTTTTAAATAAAGTAGACACTTTAAAAGGTTGTTTTTGACAAATTTTCCATAAAAAATTGGTATTTATTTATATTGACATAACTTGAATTATTAGATTATCATTTAAATGTTTGTTAATTTGCACCTACTTGTCCTACACTTAATCTTGATACATCATACATAGACTTAAGACCTGTTTTTATTGGAGCAGAGCTGAACTCAATAGAGCTGAAATGAATTGTTTATGAGAGAAGGAAATTAGGAACTGAACTGATTGGTGCTGAGAATGAGGGATAACTCGAGTGGTTAGATCTTCCTTCCCGATTTCAGGAAATCCTGAGATCGATTCTCACCTCCGCCCTTGTGGCTCTTTTAACGTCAAAAAATTGATAGGAGCTCAACTTTCAAAATGCTTTAATTTGATCATTGGTTTTTTGGATTCCAAAATTAAGTTTTTCCTTACATTTCTATCTTCTCCTTTGCAAGAGCTTTATTTCCAGCCTAGTAAATTATACGAGTGTAGAGGTACCTCGCATTGAATATATGCAACATAATGCCTTTATGCCCATGCATGCGTTTGGCCGTAATCTGTTATTTTCTTCTAATTCCTCGCCAATTATCATTGTATCAAATCAAGATTTAAAAAAAAAAAAAAAACCAACTCTTCTAAAAATTTGAACAAATAATATGAGAGATTATGGTACTCCGTATATTTCATATTATAATTATATATTTAAAGTACAAGAAATGAGACACAAATTTTGTACAGTGCACAGTACAACACTAAACGTATTACAAAATCTATTTACCATGTTGTAGACTTTGTGCCAAAAGATTATCAAACTTGGTTAGCAGCATCTTGGACATTAACATCACCTTCAACTACTTTATCAACAGGCATCTCTTCTACATGTGCCGAAGCATGTTGTTGAATAACCAACACAGATGACACAATGCCATTGTTAGTTGATGATAAGATGTCCCCTATAGGCCCTAGCTCGGCATGCTCGGCTTGGCGGTCAGCTAGTTCGGCCACCATCGTCGAAGGGAAACGACCTTTGCCTACGACTATAAGGTCGTACTCACCACTTCGACCAAGTGTCAACACTGCTTCCTCTATGTTGTTAGCTTGTTTTTGTATGAATTCCATTGTTCCATCCCATTTGTTGCGGAAGTTTTCCACCATTGCCTCATCAAGTGCCTACATCACAAAGTAAAAAGTGTCAAAATAATTAAACTTGTCCGTTCAATAACCACTTGAGCTATCCCTCACTCTCACTTGTCCGTTCAATATCTTTGCTAATTTCACGTTTCACAAATCTTATATGTGGTCAGTCACATCGTGTGGCCAGCCATTCACGAGATTATTTCATTAGTGTTATAGGAGTTACCTGAATAGTGTTATAACTTACGAGGGTTACTTTATCAACGTTATAAGGATTACTTGGTTAATATTATAGGGGTTACTTGGCTAGTATTAGATCACTTTCTTATTATTTTATAAACGATCACATGATGCGACTAACTGCACGCTAGACACACAGTTCTCATTTTTTGTTTTATATTTTTCAAGTCATATAATTTAATTTGTATTTTAACTAACTATTAAATTAGAAATTCTTCTTGTCAAAAAAAAAAAAATAAAAAAATTAGAAATTCGTGTACTAATCATGTTACTTTTAAAAACTAATAATTGAAGAGTGATTTTTTTATTTTTAATTTTTTTTTTACTCGGACATAGTTGCGTTATTATTATTATTATTATTTTTTTTTATATTTCAAAAGGATTGAAAACTGAAAATAAAAAACGGTAGCAAAAGTTAAGGAAGCTCACCGTTTCCTCCGTTCGATTCATGGCAGCAACAGAGAATGTGTAATTACTATCACTACACTTTTCAGGGGAAGGCATTAGCTTGACATTGTTAGCATCCCTTCCTTGGCTCTCTACAAACCTTATAATCGTAACCCGAATTTCGGGATGGTCCATCATTCTAGCCCAAGCTCCAAAGCCTCTCGATCATCAGCCCCTCCAAAGAATATAACACAAACCCTAAGCTGCCTTTGTGCATCATCCTGAGCTACACGACCCGCACCTAAACCCCGGTCCACGAATACCGAAACCGTGCAAGGAGCATTCTTTAGCAACTTTTGGTTCACACCTCTCCATCCATGCCCTAAATTCTCCACCAATTTCATCTCCCCTTCTTCATCCTTCCTCCACATCCTATGAAATGGCATTATGATCATCATCACCCTCTTTCCCTCTGCCACGTGTCGAACATCTTCGTGCATCGTCGAAAGGGCTGATATAGTAGTCACAGGACGAACCATAACCCTGCCTAATTGAGCGTAGGTCTCAAAAGCCGAAGCTATACGGTCATGTACCTCAACTTGACTACGACGTCGAGTTGGGTCAATGAACGGGAACCCATTACGACGAAGGCGGTGGACCATGAGAATAGATGAAGAACGTTCAGTGAGCTCTACAAGGTGCATAATGTAGAGTTTAAGATTGTTCTTCGAGGCCGTGCTTCGGGTTGATTCGATGAGGTTTATTAGGCCGGATACGTTCCCTGGACCATGAGCACAGGCCAAGACTCTGAACTGTTCTTTAAAAGCCGAGGTTGCCGGTGTAGTGCTAGAGTCCATATGTACAGATGCATCAGGTTGAAGCTTCCTCTTTTGGGTTTCAAAACTGTCTGGCTTGAAGATTGCCATTACTATTGGTGTTGTTATAAAGGTTGTGAAGAGTGCCATTAGCACTAAAATTGCAAACATCTCATCATTGAGAACCTGAAGCCACAAGAAGGGGAAAAAAAAAAGGAAAATGGAGAAATTATTAGTTGGTAATAGTAGCAAAAACTTACAAAAAAAAATGATAAATATTATGTTCAAGAATAATTAAGACACTTAACTTTTTTTTTTTAACTAATTTTGAGCACCTTTTATTGATATTATATAAAATAAAATTTTAACAAAAACATGATATTCCAAAATATATATTAAAATAAATTCAACAACTTACTAATTAACAATTTATGTTATATGTTATTTAAAAAAATAGCCTAAAGATGATAAAAATAAGTCAAACGTCTCAATTAATTTAGGACAGAGGAAGTCATATTCCGTATTATTAGAGTATGAATTATCAGCTGCTAATAGTAGCAAAGAAACTACAAAAATGAGAGAATTTTATTTATTTTTTATTTTTAGAGTATGATCTTAAATTAAATTTGAATGATAATAGATGTTAATCATGTTATTATATGTATAATCAAGAATGACTAGTATTAAAGTTTGACCATTAAAAAAAAAACAAATAATTTTTGGATGGAGAAAGAATAATAATAATTCTGTAACCTAATATACCACATGAAATTTATCATTGATGTACCGTGTTTATTATTGGTTTTTCTTCATATGTAATTTTTTTTTTTTTTTTTTTTGACATCATGTGTAAAAAAATTTCATTCTTTATAATTTATCTAAATATACGTTATTACTTTCTTAATGTATTACTCCGTATTTCCTTAAAGTTAATACTTACATACCACCTTTAATCACAATGCCATAGGTGGTGGTGCAGTGGAGGAAGAAGTAGTTTTTGGGTTTGGGTTTCAGTTTAGGGTTTCGAATTAGGGAACGTGATGAAGTTTCTGAATTATTTCCCATGACAGAAGGTAACGACAATTAATATTAACGTTTGTAAAAGCTGACCAAACTGCCCTTACTAATATGACTGTAAAAACGAAATTGACCCCTGATTTGCACAAACTGTAAATCAGTCTGATTGACTTGTATTTCCTCCCTCTAAGATGTCAAATCACAAGGAAGATTTGTTAGTGTTGTGAACTCCACTTCTAGACAATTAGACAAATAATACTACATTGTATATAGGTCAGGCCAAACAAAAAAGCTAAGTCGTTAATTAAGAATCTGGTGATTGAATCTATATAATTTAACCAATCCTATACTCAGATCCCTTCACAATGAAATTAAATATCACGTTAGATTATTAAGTAAGTTTGACTTTGAATATTTTAAAATTATCCTTTGATATTTCTCTTAATAGAAGTAGAGGCACAAGTCTAAATACCATTATGTAGACAAATAAATTTTTGCTTATTACTTGGAAATGAGGAAATGTATTAAAAAATTGTTAAATTAAATACTTCAACTTGGATGCTTAAACTAAGATTTTTGATCTATATTATTTATTGCAATTTAATAAGTCATTAAATTATCATTGTTAATGTAATTTGCATCAATTATTTGACGTATAATAAGACGCCGGTGGCTGCATTTTAGACTAATAAGACAGCAACTTTCAACATAATTCTTACTAATAGTAGGATTAAAAATTGATCTATGAACATCATTGATCTTAGAGGACTATGTCAAATTGTCAATGGAAAATAAAATGTTAACATAAGCCATTAGAAAAGAAGAACTATATTAAAGTGAAGATTATACGGATCTTTTTAGTTTGTGAATCGTTACGTGTCAAACATTAACTTGTGAACAAGGTTATGATGTTTTCTATCCCTGTAAATTGTGTCCACATCTTCAAGTTTAAATGGAACTCAATAATTTGCTAGCTTGTCATTACTTTTATTATCAAATGAAAGGTTACCAATTCAAAGTTGCAAAGTACGAAGTACTTGAATTACTTATTTAACTGTCTAATAAAAAAATAATAATAAAAAAAAAATCTTAGCAACGATTCTCTAATAATATCCTATCATATATTTCAATTTTTAATAAGGTCCAAATACGAGTATGAAAAAGTATTGAAAGATTATAAGTTGGATTAAAAAAAAAGGTTAATTTAAGCCAAGTGGCATAATATAATCTTTTTGAAAAGGACTATTGAAACTAGAAAGCAATAACTAGTGTACGTAGTAAATATTCTTAGCAAAATTTGATTTCTAGAGTTCTCATTTATTCATGTACTTACAATTTTTTTTTTTTTTTTACTTAATACATTTCTGCTCTAGTTAATGCATTTAAAAACTTATATACCTTATTGTTAACATTTAGTAAATACCATAAAAATTTGATATTATGAAAATATAAGTATTTATAAATCAAGACAAATGTAACAAAATCACACATACTATATTTTTTTGTTAAATATAAATCATTGAGGGTATGTAGTCAACGTATCGTATCATATGCGTATAGAGATAAAGCCGATCCCAACAAAATGTTCCTAGTTTAGTAGTTGACGCGAATTTGGTTTATGGTTCCATTATATATATTATAATTATACTACGTTAAACAGAGGTATTAATTATATTTTACATTGGATATAAAGTCATCAATATCATGCTGGTTTTGTCACTCAATAGAGGAGAATAGTAATTCTCAAGCAAGTTGCTAAAATACAACCTTATTTCTAGCATTGCTTACACAACTATACATCATACATGTGAGCAAAGATACCAAATTGAAGTAAAATGTCTATAATATTTCTTGTTGTTCATTTTGCTTAACTGATTGTTAATGAAGGTGGGAAATTACATAACATGCAAGCATTTATGAACATTCTAAGCTTAATTAAGCTAAGGTTGACATGCATACAACATACACTTATTGAACGTGCAAATTAAAGACAATTGATTAAACACTACTAAAATTGCAATAATAAACAACATATGTGGGAGGTAATAATTAAATTACTAGAGTAAGAGGTACAAACCTTTTTTTCTTTTCCGATATTGAGGACAATGAGCTCGACCAGACCTTTTGTGTTCATCAACACACCAAGGACTAACGCATCCCTAGCCTTCATTTTACAAAACTTAGCCACCACAAAGGTACCAAAAATCTTGCCAAAGCACGCGACCGCGATCACCAGCACGAGTAAACCCCACGCGACGGCCCCTTGGATCTTTGTGACGTCGGTCTTTAGACCGCTAGAGGCAAAGTACAGTGGCAACAATAGGCCTGAAACAAAATCCTCAATTCTTTCTAGTAGCTTCTCGGCAAAATCACCTTCTTTAGGGATAATCAAACCGAAAATGAATGCTCCAAATATGGAGTGAATGCCTATAAAGTCGGTCATGAACCCGGCCACGAGTACACCGGCTAGGGTTATAGTGATATAAAGCTCGTCCACCACACCCTGCTCTGCTGAGCAACGTCGGACCATCCAGGCCATTAAGGGCTTAACAGCCAAGAACATGAATGCTACGAACCCAACCCCGGCTAGTAACACCCACAACGAGACTAACGGGCTGCTTTTATGACCACCTGCCTCGCCGTTGCCTGCAAGAGCAACTGCGAGAGCAAGGAGGATCCATGCAGCTACATCATTAAAAGCGGCCGCTGCCATGGCTGTCTCCCCTACTTTGGTGGTCAAGAGTTTGAGTTCAGCCAAAATACGGGCTAAAACCGGGAAGGCGGTGATAGAGAGTGAAACTCCCATGAACACAAGGAAAGGACCGTAACCAGCTCGGTCAGCTCCCTCGATGGTGCGGCGGAGTATAACAGCTACCGCCGCACCACCGATAAAGGGGAGACTTATTCCGGCTAGAGCAATGGTGAAGGCCTCACGGCCACTACGACGAATAGAGCCTAGGTCCAACTCAAGGCCTACTAGGAATAAGAAGAAAAGAAGACCAATGCTAGCAACTGATTCTAAAATTGGTGTGCTCCATTTTGGAAAGATTTTATCCATGTATTGTTGGTTCCTGCCAAATGCGGATGGTCCCAGCAATATACCTCCCTATACAATGTTAAATAAATCATTATTATACAAAGAATAATTACCACTTAATACGACATACATATGAATCTTAATCAGGAAAATAATTATACGTTCGTTATTATGTATGATTTATGATGAGTACATACCACAATTTCAGCAATGACTTTGGGTTGTCGGAGAGGCTTGAAGGCGAAAGCGAGGAGGCGGGTTACGACGAGGATCAAGGTAGTTTGTATAATGAGTAAGGGGAAGGCGGTTTGAAGGGCATTATCACCTTGTAAAATGCCATCAGAGGCAGTTTTGATGGCTGTTATGTTTAACATTATTATTATTGTTGTTTAAGTTGATTGCGAAAAGACTATGTTGGAAAAGTTTTATGTATTGAAAGTATGAAGTTTGGATGTTATATATATATAGTGAAATTTTGTGCATCTTTGAGACTTTGAAAGCACAATTACGGAAGAATATGTCACGCTCTCCGTCCATAGGACTTCAAAATAAAATTTAGAAAATGGAGCAAAGTTGCAATAAATACAATATAAAAAATTTGTTTATAATTTTAGTACATACATTTTTTTGACAATTATTCATTGACTAATAAATTTTAATTTTTTGCATTTTGTTATATTAAGCTCAAAAAAAAAAAAACCCTATTTTTACCACTACAAAACATATAAAATATAGGAAAATTTGATAAATACCACCATCTATAGTTGCCAAAATTGAAAATACCACCTCAAGTTTTTTTTTTTTTTTTTTTTTTTTTTTTTTTTTTTTTTTGTAATTTACCACCTAGTTTTTTCCTAAATTTTTGAAACTCCCACCTCTTTTCTTAAAGGACGTCATTGTGGGTCCCACATATGCGTTTTCCCTCTCTTTCCCTCTCTCTTCCCTCGATTTCCCCTGTTCCTCAAGTTCCCTATTTCAATTTCATCTCCCTCCTCTTCAATACCCATCACTATACTCTCAATCACCCAAATTTATTGTTAAACCCTAACATTTAACACTCATTTTCACTCATTTTTAACATTCAACAAGCCAAATCAACTGCATTGTAGAGGGGGGACCTGAAATTTGATGCTGGTGTTGAAAGTCAGCGAGGAAACAGACAAAATCGAGGTAATTTTTTGTTCATTTTTGTTTTTGTAAATGACAGTGGTAAACCCTAAAATTCGTACTCAGTAAACACATGCCCCCAATTGCATGTTTAATTGTGTTTTTGTGGTAATTACTTGTTTAATTGTCCACTTATTCATTCAATTTTAACTTCATAAACCCTAATTTTTCCAATTTAGCAAAACCCCCAAATTAATTACCCAAACCCTAATTAATCTAATCAATACACTTTGTTTTAGGTTAGATTGCATAAATTATAACCTAATTTGCGCAAATTTTGGTATACGCCATCAAATTCAAGAAACGAAATTGGAAGAGAGGGAAGACGAAGATGAGGAATAGGGGAAATCGAGGGAAGAAAGAGGGAAATAGAGGGAAAACGCATATGTGGGACCCACAATGACGTCATCTAAGAAAAGAGGTGGGAGTTTCAAAAGTTTAGGAAAAAACTAGGTGGTAAAATACAAAAAAAAAAAAAACTTGAGGTGGTATTTCCAATTTTGGCAACAATAGATGGTGGTATTTATCAAATTTTCCTAAAATATATATATTTATAAATGTTATCCGCAGTATCTCTTTTTATTAGTTATGACCCATTAGAAAAAAAGAAATTAAAAAGACATTAATGTACGTTATCCATGACACGTGTCATTTGTGTATTTGGCGGCAAAATAGGGTGCTAGAACATAAATTTGTTTTTTTTTTTTAAATTCACCCCCTATTTTTACCACTCCAAAATATATATAAATGTTAAAACATAAATATATATATATATATATATATATATATATATTTATAAATGTTATCCACACTATTTCTTTTTATTAGTTATGACCCATTAGAAGAAAAGAAATTAAAAAGGCATTAAAGCCTAAATCTTAAGAAAATCCCAAAAGAGTACGTTATCCATGACACGTGTCATTTGTGTATTAGGCGGCAAAATAGGGTGCTTAGGGTTTAAACCATAATGAACACAATATTTTTTTTTTGGCTGTTTAGAGAGCCATGAGGGCGGATAATGAGAATCGATTCCAGGATAACCTGAAACCGAGACGGGAGCTCTAACCACTTGAGTTATCCCTCACTCTAAAATTTTGTGTGCATTGTGCGTGTACTGCACATAAAATTGTAACACTATAAATACCCCTATCATTAAATGATCAAACAAGTTACATTCATTACGTATGTACTTTAAGTGCATCTCATCACATAGCTCCTATATATTTACAAAATATATATGAGGGTAAAAATGTAAATTCGGTAAGTTATTGGAAAAAACTTACTCTACAGTGGTACATTGTAATGTACCATTATGCATGTATGATGTACTATTAAAGTATAAGTTGTTTGAATAGTACTTTTTGTGTACTATTATGCATGTAGTGGTACTTTCTACCATCCTATAAGTTGAATATTTTTCCCTAAAATACTTACCACCTGTCACCTATTATACATATAATGGTACATTTTTCATCCTATACGTTTGCTAAACCAATAGGAGCTACGCGCTAAGGGTTAAGACATGTCGCCTAAAAACGCTCTACTTCTCTCTACTTCAATTCCTCTTCATAGATTTTTTGTTTTCGACTACTAACTTAAGCTTAGAAGCGAATATTCATGTGGTGGAGTATTCGTGATTTTGTGAGTGTTTGTGTCACATGAATTATAACAACATCATTCTAATTCATCATTCTCATACAAACCTTGAAATACTTTCTCTTACCTTTTTTTTTCTCTTGTAAAACATCAAGGTATCTGTCTTTGATGCCTTCTCATGGTACTTCCAAGACGGTCAGGCCGTCTTGGGTTGTCGTAGTGTGTTATAGGGTTTTCAGACCCTTCGTCATGGTTTGATATGGAAGGTGGGGTCTAGTACCAATATTAGTATTCTTGATGATAGTTGGGTGCCTAGGGTTCAGGTTCAGGTTCAGTTTAAGGATAATGTGAACAGCATGGGTGCCCCATCCTTTGTTTTTTTTTTTTTTTGTTTTTTTTTTATCTAATTAATGTGCGTTCGAACGCATGGAATATGAGTATGATTCATCGGTTGTTTCCTCCTCTACCACTGGCCTTAATTTAGGCCTTGAATGACCTAAAGAAAGAATCGATGATTTTGTTTATTGGAAATTTACAGGGATGGGATGTTCTCCTTGAAGACTGCATATGTGTGCTCCTTGTGTTATGAGAATGGTAACCAGCGGTCACCTTTGGCTCTTAACTCACGTTGGTTGAGGCAATTCTAGGCTTCACCTTTACTTCTGAAGTAGAAAATTTTTGCTTGGAAGATTATCCAAAAAGCGTTGCCTTCTGCTTTGTTGCTTGCTCGAAAGGGTTTACCAGTGGATTCCATATGTAGGTTTTGTCATCAGGATCTGGAGACTCTTTCTCATCTTTTTCGAGATAGTCCTTTTACTTGAAGTTTATGGGAGGATCGACCTTGTGGATTGGCCCTGAATATGCCCCAAGATCAGTCTTTTGAATAGTTGTTTCTTGAGGTTCTTTCTAAGTTTCTGCATGACAAGGATTGGTTGAAGCTAGATCGTTTTTTTAGTTTGTTACGGCCCCTCTAGCTTACTCGGAACTCTATGAGGTTTCCTTATGTGGTTTATTCTCCTGATTGTATTATGGATCTAGCTTCTAGTTGGGTGGAAAGGTGTTCTGTTGTTCAAATATAATATTAAATCTGCGTTTCCTCCTGGATTTTCTTGTACTATGTCTTCTGCAGTTCTTTAATGGAATGCTTTGAATGTTTGTATAGTCAGTCTTACTTTTGATGGGGCCTCGAGTTCTGGCAGTCATAATGCAGGTACTGAATGGGTATTCTTGGATATGGCTTATGAGGTTCAAATCGGGGGTGGGGCACAGGATTGTAGCTCTAATTCTGTGTTTCAGTCTGAAATGAAGGCTTGTCTTTTTGCTTTACACCATGTCAAGAAGCATAGGTATTCCTCTTTACAAATTATTACTGATTGTTCTTTGGTGGTGGATCTGCTTCGGTCTTAGTTTCGCAAGGATATTTTTGTCCGTTGGATTTAGCAGGAGCTTTGAAAGTTATTGAGGCTTTGGTTATGTGTCGTTCAGAAGGTTGCGAGGTCTATGGTTGCTCAAGCTCACTGTTTGGCTAGGATGGCGTGTCGGCGTGATTTACTTTGTGTTTCCATTTTTAGTTTGTTTGTAAGTTCTTTTGTAAAAAAAAAAAAAAATAATAAAAAAATTGCCCATATTTATTGGATCACTCACACTTATCTTATTTGGATTGTTTTGCATTTATTTATCTTACGAATTTTGACTAAAAGGGTAGTAATTAGTAAATGATGTAGAGTGCACAATATAATAAATTCTGATCGATAAGTGTGTAAAGTCTCCTTATCTTTATCAACTAGACTAGATAAGTGTCATCCGTACACTTCATAGCTCGTTGTACTTTCATTCAAATATAAAAAACATTATGTGCTACCTAAGATGACTAATAGATGATCAATATCATTCATCATAATCAATTTATTATGCATGATGCATACAACATAAATACAAGGACTATCTATAATCTCTACAAGCTAACTAAACTAATGGTTGCATTCTAACATTATTTATTTATTATTAGTTGATGGTTATAATTGTTAGGAGACATAGTTTAAGTGATAACTTATAAGTTGTTTAGTTATCAATTATTTTTATCTGAATAGTGTGAAATATATAGTTTTTATAATTTTATTAAAAGTTAGGTGTTATTCCGAATGGTATACTACAAGAGGGGGGTGAATTGTAGTATGTTCCTAGTGCCTACTTTTTGCGGAATATAAAACTGATTGTTGTTAGGAACTTAGATATTTGTAGGCGTCGTTTGAAGTACGCCTACGTAAAAGGCATGTTATGAATATGCTTGGCACTCGTAGGAAGTGAGAATTGACATATACGATTAGGGACAAGGATAGTAGGGAGCCGCCAACAAGTTTTTAAGGAACTTGTAAACCGTTCATGAATCATTTAAGCCAACCACAAATAAAGGGACAACGAAGGCAACAACGATTGACCCATGAAGGTTACACCCCATTCATAATCCATGAGATTACTAACTCCATATGGTTCGGAACCACGAAAGGAGGATCGGGGATGATGGTACGAAGTGAGTCATGGAGTCACATTCGCCCGTATTGGCCTCTACTCGATTCTTATAGTGAAAAGTGATTCCTGCGATCTCAAAGGCATACAAACAAAATATTCAATTCGCTCCAAACTATTATTATGCTAAATTGGTTTAATATTAATGCAACATATTATTCTAAAATATCGTGATCACTTGATTAAACAACAAGATTAAAAAAGATCCTAAACCGGTTGTCCAAATTATCTTATTAGGCGTGATTTTCAATTACGTATTCCCTTTAAACATACATTATGGTGATCAATAAATAGAAATAGAATAAACATTAATATTGGAAGCAATTCAACAATAAATT